AAGAAGAAGAAGAAGAAGAAGAAGAAGAAGAAGAAGAAGAAGAAGAAGAAGAAGAAGAAGAAGAAGAAGAAAAAGGAGAAGAAAGATGGTATTGTGTTCATACGCTATCATTAACAGGGGCCTGTCAGGACCTTTTGACCCTCCACCCCTCCCCCTCCCCATGCCCCACACACTTTCTTTTTGTTTTCCACTTTTACCCGTCAAAGCATACATTGCGAAATCAGTCATCGGGCATGAGAGAATGACTTTCCCCACTTCACGTTCGTCAGACGGACGGAGATGGGATATGGGATAAGAGCAGTTTGTGTTAGTCAGTTACACCCACTTAAAGATGTTCCATTATTATATATATTTTTTATCCCTAAGGGTGAACATGAAATGGTGAAATGGTATATGTCTATATACGCCTCTATCGACACTGTTAGGTTATTTAAGTGACAGGACCTCCAAGTTTAACGCCCATCTCCAAAAGCACCGAGCCAAATGGGAATTTTGTGCCAAGTGCCTTTCCCAAGGGCACGTTGGACCGAGCCGAGGCTCGAACCCCGCACCTGCAACCTCATCCCTAAGGGCTTAATTTATTAAATAGAGGGTGGGAGGGGGGAGGGGGCTACACACCAAAAGTCCCCATTCCGTCGAAAATGATGGATTTTGAGTTATAGGTATATTTAGCTTCTTCATCCTTCATCCTACAACTATTTCATAGCATTAGGACCCCATAAAATCTTATTTCTCCCCATACTGGACATGTTTGTCACCACCATTTCCTCTAAAAGTCAATCTTTTTTTTTTATCGCCCGTTTTCTCAAAATGCAGTTTTTCTCTATACTTTTTAAAAATAACTCCACCATTTTTTCTTTCTAATCTTCATGAAATTTTCACAGAATGAAGAGAAGATGTGACACAAAAAATTTTGTCTGTTGAATTTTTGATATATTATTAAAGAATAGAATTTTCCTGGTTGTGTCTGGAGTGTGGATTTTTACGGATTTGGTTTTGTTTTGTTTTTTCAAATTTGAGTACTTACCTCACGAAAAAAAAGTGTAAAAAATGTTCTAATTCGCTTAGGAAAAATTCAACACCAAATTTGTAGATCTAATGATTATTAATGTGCAAGCAAATGAGAAAAAAATCTATTTGCATGAAAAATAAGTGCGGTATTCATTACGTAAGACATGTCAATAAAATCCAATATGGCCGCCGTAGCCATGGAAACGAAACTTTTTTCTCAAATTTGATTGCGGATTTTAAGACTCCTTACTATGCTTGTTATAATAATGTGTGAAATTTGGTAAAATTTGATCAGTTAATATGCGAGATAGCCTTCAGGAGTAGCCCCCCCCCCCCCCCCTTTCCTCAATGTTGGTGTTATAAGATGCAGCTGATTCCTGTAACGTTTGTGGTTTACAGTATCGCGACTTTTTTTTGGGGGGGGGGGAGATGTCGGCTAGCTTTTCAAATATACTAACCCAGCAGAGCAATAAATTGCTTTTTTTTTTCAGGAGAAACAAAAAAAACTGTCTCATTCTTTAAACAGTAAATGTACACATGAAAACTGCTTGGGAAAACAACTGCCGTCACAAATTTCTGCTTAGTTTACGAAATATCCATTATGAGCAGGAAACCTCATGTTACCTTAAACCAACAAAAGTCAAACAAGAAAAAAAGAACAAAAAATGTCCGTTCTTGTTTCCATTATGGATCCTGTCCCTATTCTTCCCTTTCGAGAGCGACGGTGAGTGGTTGGCGGGTGCTTTGGTGTGGTTTGCTCCTTTTTTACCTATCAAATATCTGAACTGTCCTTATCTCTCCTTCTTCTTTTCTTTGTAAGTTACTGACTCCTTCTTTTCATTGTAATCAATCCTTCGTCTGTTCTTTCTAAATTACCCCTTCTTCCTGTCTTTGCAAGTTATGCCTTCTTTTTTTTTGTTTGTACATTGTTCCTTCTGTTTTTCTCTGTAAGTTACTCCTTCTTCTTTTCTTCGTAAGTTTTCCCTTCTTTTTGTAAGTTAACCCTTCGTCATTTCTTTCTAAGTTACTCATTCTTCTTTTTTTGTGAGTTACTTCTTCTTTTTGTAAGTTACTCATTCTTTTTTTTGGACGTTACTTGTTAGTTATTCCTTCTTCTTTTCTTTGTTACTTATTCCTTCTTCTTGTCTTCGTAAGTTACTTCTTCTTCTTTTCTCTGTAAATTACTCCTTGTTCCTGTCTTTATAAGTTACCCCTTCTTCTTTCCTTTGTAAGTTACCCCTTTTTTTTGTAAGTCGCCCCTTCTTCTTTCCTTTGTAAGTTACTCCTTCTTCTTTTTTCTTTGTAAGTTACTCCTTCTTCTTTTTCTTTGTAAATTACTCCTTCTTCTTTTTTCTTTGTAAATTACTCCTTCTTCCTGTCTTTGTAAATTACTCCTTCTTCCTGTCTTTGTAAGTTATTTCTTCTTCTTGTCCTGTGTAAGTTACTCCTTCTTCTTGTTTCTTTCTAAGTTACTCATTCTTCTTTTTTTTGGTGAGTTACTCCTTCTTTTTGTAAGTTGCTCATTCTTTTTTGTACGTTACTACTTCTTCTTTCCTTTGTAAGTTACTCCTTTTTTTTGTAAGTCGCCCCTTCTTCTTTTCTTAGTAAGTTACCCCTTCGTCGTTTCTTTATAAGTTACTCATTCTTCTTTTTTGTGAGTTACTCCTTCTTTTTGTAAGTTGCTCATTCTTTTTTTTTGTACGTTACTTGTTAGTTATTCCTTCTTCTTGTCTGTGTAAGTTACTCCTTCTTCTATTTTGTTTGTAAGTTTCTCCTTCTTCTATTTTGTTTGTAAGTTTCTCCTTCTTCCTGTCTTTGTAAGTTATTTCTTCTTCTTGTCCTGTGTAAGTTACGCCTTCTTCTTGTTTCTTTTTAAGTTACTCATTCTTCTTTTTTGTGAGTTACTTCTTCTTTTTGTAAGTTGCTCATTCTTTTTTGTACGTTACTACTTCTTCTTTTCTTTGTTAGTTGCTCTTTCTTCTGATCTTTGTAAGTTATTCCTTCTTCTTTTCTTTTACTCCTTCTTTTCTTGTAAGTTACCCATTCTTCTTGTCTTTTTAAGTTACTTCTTCTTTTCTTTGTACGTTCCTCCTTCTTCTTTTTCTTTCTAAGTAACTCCTTCTTCCTTTTCTTTGTAAGTTACCCCTTCTTCTTTTTCTCTGCAAGTTACCCCTTCTTCTTGTCTGTGTAAGTAACTCCTTCTTCTTTCCTTTGTAAGTTACCCCTTCTTTTTCTTTTTTTTTCTTTTATTGTAAGTCGCCCCTTCTTCTTTTCTTAGTAAGTTACTCTCTAACGACACCCCAAAGCTTCGACATTTACGAGACCTATTTGTGTTGCAAGTGACATAAGACTCCAAGACCGTGATAAAACAAAAACTAAACTGAAGACATGTGCGCGTATAATGAATTGTCATAAAGGTACCAAGGGATAAGCTTATCACCCATTACATTGTATTTTTTTAAAAATTATTATTATTATTATTATTATTATTATTATTATTATTATTATTATTATTATTATTATTATTATATTACTGTTGTTGCATCATCATCATCATCATCATCATCATCATCATCATCATCATCATCATCATCATCATCATCATCATCATCATCATCATCATCGCTATTATTATTACTAATAGTATTATCATGATTGCTAGTATTAATGTAAAATTTATTATTATTATTATATTATTATTATTATTATTATTATCATTTTTATTAGAGTTGTTTTTTATAGTCGTCTTCGTCGTCGTCGTCGTCGTCGTCGTCGTCGTCGTCGTTGTTGCTGTTGTTGTTGTTGTTGTCGTTGTTGTTGTCGTCGTTGCTGTTGTTTTTGCTACTGTTGCTGCTGATGCTGTTGTTATCATCACCATTGAATGTTTCGGACAGCTGTAGAATCTGCGTGTCCCCCCGACCAAGTGCAGTGCCCGGGCAGCTCTGAGTGTATACGGCCACATTGGAAATGTGACGGGGACCAGGACTGTCCGGATGGCAGAGACGAGGACGACTGTGGACAGAGTGAGTGTGGGATCTTTCTCTCATCGTGTTTGGTGGCTTTTGTTTGTTTTTGATTTTATTTTTTCTTCCTTTTTTTGATTTTGTTGTTTGAGTTTTTTAAATTTATATTTTCTTTTTTTGTTTCGTATTTTTTGTTTTGTTTTAACCAGATAGATAGATAGATAGATAGATAGATAGATAGATAGATAGATAGATAGATAGATGGACGATTAGATAGATAGATAGATAGATAGATAGATAGATAGATAGATAGATGGATAGATAGATAGATGGATAGATAGATAGATAGATAGATAGATAGATAGATAGATGGACGATTAGATAGATAGATAGATAGATAGATAGATAGATAGATAGATAGATGGATAGATAGATAGATGGATAGATAGATAGATAGATAGATAGATAGATAGATAGATGGACGATTAGATAGATAGATAGATAGATAGATAGATAGATAGATAGATAGATAGATAGATAGATAGATAGATAGATAGATAGATAGATAGATAGATGGACGATTAGATAGATAGATAGATAGATAGATAGATAGATGGATAGATAGATAGATGGATAGATAGATAGATAGATATATTATACCAGTGGTGCTGTTTTACCAGATTTTCCTCGTGTTGTTTCCGTTATTTTCACGAAAAGAATAGTAATCATTCTAATTCCTAAATGTTGTTTTCTACTTAACCCCATATCACTTTTGTCTATTGATAATTAATAATAATAATAAATAGCATTTATATAGCGCATGTCCTCACTCGAAAGCAAGCTCTATGCGCTTTACACTATATAATTACACCAGCAGACCATAGAAACACTCAAAAACATTCTCAGCTTCCCGGGAAGCAAGCAGTGCAAGCAGCTGGTTAAGCGCTCAAACACTAACCAACTGACAAGATATTAACTGTCTTTGAGTTTGCAAATACAACTTCTAAATATTTCAGGTATTTCCAGAAAATACTAGTGGCATCCCTCGTTTGTTTTCTGCTTTGTATATGAAACCGTATAAGTATAAGTGATTCATTTAATTTGATTGTCTAAAACCCGGGGTTTTTTTTACGGACTGACGATTTTTACTAGGTAGTGGTGGTAGTAGTAGTAGTAGTAGTAGCAGCAGCAGCAGCAGCAGGAGGAGGAGTAGGAGTAGTAGTAGGAGTAGTAGTAGCATCAGCAGCAGCAGCAGCAGCAGCAGCAGCAAAAGCTAGTTTTTGGTAGAAGGATCGAAAAAAGAAAGGTGGGAGAAATTTGTTGGGGAAATCGGACAAGACAAGGATATACAAAAATGTTGGAAGTTACACAATAGAATGAACAACGGGCGCACAGCAAACTCAATGCCGGATATCAAGAGCACTGATAGAATCACTATTCAGAGAGATGATGCAAGCAAAGGAGAAGCCTTTCTTAAAGATACATCACACAGACGGATCGGGGTGATGCTGAGACAAGGAAAGAAGTATGTCAAATTTTGAAGGGAATCGAGAGGGATGAGGAATATGACAACATCATCACGATATATTTGGCCAAATCTGTGCTAAAAACCAACAACCTCACAACGCCAGGTCCAGATGGGATACAGTACAAACACTTTAATGAGCTCAGTGTCGAGGAACAGGAAAAAGATTGTGGATGACTATAACAGCAGCATCAGGAAATCAAATGTACCAGAAGAGTGGTTGCACAGTTATTTAAAGCCACTACCAAAACCTGGGAAGAATCACAAAGAACTCAACGGATACCGCTTTATCACCATGCAAAATGTGCATGAAAAGTGCTAGAAAAATGCACAGCAAGAATACTCATGAATGAGCTAGAGAACAACGGAAACCTACCTAAGGAGTTAGGAAGTTACAGAACCAGAAAGGAAACTTGGAACAACGCAAAGACCTTCGCGTATGATGTATATGAAGGCTTTCAGAGGGGAGAAGAGACCGTGGCAATAGCATTAGATCTGGAAGATCCTTACAATCATGTCAATTATGAGAGGCTAAAGTGTGCTCTGCTAGATTGCGACGTGAATCCGTGGATTGTTGGGTGGACTGTGGGGGCAATGCTGGAAAGAAAAGTGGCTTTGCGATGTGGTCAGTGGATTTCAAGCCCACAGGTGATAAGACTAGGACTCCCACTGGGCTCACCCTTATCGCCCATACTGTTCAATGTCTACACTGCTCGTATAGCAACGCTGAAAAGCGTTAGGCCTGGGAGAATACTAACATTTGCAGATGACATCTTGGCCTACAGGCAAGGACGGGATCTGTAGAAAATGGCAGATGGATTACAGCTAGAGGTTGAGAAAATCATGGAGTGGTGTGCTGAATCGACCGCAGTGATCAATCGTCAGAAGGCCGCAGCACTGTGGGGCTCTTCAAACAATCGAATAGTAGAGACAGACGCCCCAGAGCTGACGGTAAATAGGCAGAATATTCAAAGATGTCAGAAAATGGGGTATCTGGGAATGGTTTTCGATCGCTGTCTATGCTTCAAAGACCACATAGATGGTGTTGCGGAAAGGACAAAGAAGGGCTTGAATGCAGTGAAGGTCATGGCGGCTTCAGGAGTGGAACAAAGGCTACCGCTTCTTATGTACCAGCAGATGGTCTTAGCAGTAACCGATTATGGGCTCAGAGTATTGACTTTGACAAAAACCCAACTGGACAAATTGGATCGAGTTCAAATTGAGGCCACGCGCATCATACTAGGCTGCACCAGGGATATGCCAGTTATCTGTATGAGGCATGTATTTTTGGGCCTCATGTCAGTGGAAAACAGACTCAAAGTGGCTCAGGTCAGGGCGTACATAAGGGTGGCGTCTGATAAGCAACACCCACTTCACGAAGCCATTGGATCAAACTAAGGAAATCACCTAAAACGAGGAGCTTCTTGGATGGCCGAGGCTAAAAACACCATCAAGGATTCCTGCCTAAAGGAAGACATAGCGGAGTGAAGAATGGATAAAAATGAATGAAAGGGAGCAGGCAGATTTTGGGAAGGTAGTGATTACGCTGAACAGAAAATGTAGAGAGTGGCCGCAAGGGGCGACAGATGATGAGATACGAAAACTGATTGAAGAAAACTCACGGCATGGAGATGTGGTTGTATACATGGATGGATCTGTTAAACGAAGGGGAAATCTGGATCGGGCTTCTCAGCAAAAGTGAGTGGCAGATCTGTCCTCGCAGATTTAGATGGCCAAATTATGCTCTGCAAATACAAAATTATGCAAAAATATGTAAGTTACCGTAACGCCGTCCACGACATGTTTTGCACTTTTTCAACAAGAATTTCATGTTTTTTTGTACAGAAAATTTGAAAACAGAGCATATCAGCATCACTAATTCTTTATGTATTTGGAAAGAAAACAATACACATCAGTCAGAAAAACAACCAAAAAATATCCTCGCTGCAACTTTCTGCTGTAGATCTAGTGGAAAGAAAAACGTTTCTTCTTAAATTTTTAAAAAGACTTCTGGTCCTCTGATGCTGGCACGTCACTAAAACCAGGGACACCTGTCAAACATTAAAAATCAGCAGACACATAATATGAAAACAACTTTTGATGGATTGAAAAATTGAGCAGGCTCAAGGAACAAAATCCCTGACCCTAAACCCCCTGACTCCCAAGATCTTCTAACAAGGGAAATAGCCAACTTGTCACTTAAATGAGACTTATTACTGTGATTACTTCCCTTTAGTCACACAGCCAGGTGTTTAGTTACATGTTTCGTGAAAAATGCACCCAAAAAAACTTGAAAAAACGCGGGGAATCCAAAATTATGCAAATGTTGCAGAATTATGCGAAAAGGCCGCATAATCGTATAATCCGACCGGGACAGGCAGATTGGTGCAGGAATAGCAGAGAGCATACGATATGACATCATCTAGAATGATAATGGAGATTGAGGCAATCACCCAGGCTCTCAAATGGGTTACAATAACTCGACAAGCACATGTGGTCTTTGTCACAGACTGTCAGGGCACTCTGAGGAAGATTGAAAGTGGGAACCTTAGAGCTGAAAGGACAGAGCTCCTGAAGAAGACAACACTGAAAAAGATCACCTGGATCTTCATCCCGGGCCATGCTGGAGTCAATGGCAATGAGAGGGCTGATGAGCTCGCTGGGAAAGCAAAACCTGCAGGAAAGCTGTGCCCTGACAAACCTGAAATTGTACTTTCAGTAAGGGAAAAAACGTGAAAAAGAACAAGAAGAATCGGAATACCATCATCTTGACCGACTTCGTGAGCTTGGAATTGGATAGTGCGCCTGCAGAAGATCAAGACTTAGTGGAGGAGCAGAAGGCTATGGAATCAACCATTGCTTGGAACCGTCAGCATCTACACACTTCGAGATGTGCTTCTTCAGGGGACGGAGCGCTTATGGGAATGCCCTTTGTGCAGGGATGTCCTTTCTTCACACAAGTAACAAGTAACAAGTAGTGGTAGTAGTAGCAGTACTAGTAGCAGCAGCAGCAGCAGCAGCAATAGTAGTAGTAGTAGTAGTAGTAGTAGTAGTAGTAGTAGTAGTAGTAGTAGGAGGAGGAGGAGGAGGAGGAGGAGGAGGAGGAGTAGGAGTAGGAGTAGGAGTAGTAGTAGGAGTAGTTGTAGTAGAAGGAATAGCAGAAGTAGTAGTAGTAGTAGTAGTAGTAGTAGTAGTAATACTAGTGGCATCCCTCGTTTGTTTTC